CGTTCTAAACAAGTTAGCCTCAGCATGCTCTGAATAAAGATCTTAACTCGTCCAAACTTTATGTCGTGCAAGGGTATCTTGCCTGGTTGTCAATATGGAGAAGTAATCGTGACCGTTTGCGTAAAATTAATCGATGACAAATTTTCCTCGTCTTCTAAAAATGTCGCTTGGCAGTTCAGCTCCATGCATGTTCCACAATAGCGTCAGATATCGATTACCATACGTCAGTTTAAAAAGGAAATCAACAACTAGCTACCTGATAAAATTGACAAAATAACGAACGTCTACTTAATCAGAAATGTTACCATGTTCGTTAACGTTTGAAATCTTGATCTCATTGACACGCATCTATAAATATCAACTTTTATGGCTAAAAAGTACCCACGCTTTGGGCTTGTGTGTCGCCTTCAGGGACCAAACTTTTTTTCCTATTTTGGCCCCTGAAGAAGGCACTCGAGTCGAAAGCTCGAGTACTTCTTATCCATCATGGCTGATATTTATAGATTCCAATGTAATTAAATTTTCTCTTATACAAGATCAACGCGCTGATTATGAAGAATCCTCAAACCTTGATCTGTAAATGTTGAGAAGTATTTCATGTTTACTAGTCTGGTATTTATGCACTGTTCAGACGGCAATATTGTAACATGCAGAGATCTCTGACGTGATTGGCGTTTTACCAACGGGCGGGAACTGTTGGGGGGGGGGGGGTATCGAGATCGAGGGGGATTCTTCTACTTCACTTCACATTGTTGTGTCAACTGTTAAATCTTTATTAAAAAGTCACTACAAGAAGCTAACAGTTGATGTCCCAACTCATTAATAAGCACAGCACAAAGCTCATGTTTAATTTTTCATCAATCCTGATGAGTAACTGCACGGTAAAACAGCTAGTGACATCCTCTTTAAATATTGTCATTATTAACTCACTCAATGATTTTTTTCAGTTTTTGTTCATATAAATAAATGAAAACGGAGGAAAGTTTTGCTTTTTCGGCAGCATTGTGTCCTCGCTTGTTTGAAACTTTTCTACTGCAGTCCACGTATGTGTATAAATAAGAAATTCAATTAAACCCTCTGTGGATCAATCGGCTGGTTCAAAAGTGTAATGTTTGACGACAGGAGCATCTTCAGGGCTTCCCCCCCTATCTAGCCACAGATTGCCTGGGTACTGCTTCGGCAACTGAAATGAACAGCATTCTCTTCACATTCTGGTTTATGCAACCTTACTTAAAACAATTATCGAACATTTTTCATACTTCAACTTTTCTAATTAAAAAAAAAAGGCAGCACAAAAAAAAGCCTTTAATTTACACTTCGTCAAATTTCTGGCCTACTCACTTACACTGAATTTGTACAGCACAGAAAGTAAACAAACAAAAAAAAAAAAAAAGAAAAAGAAAAAAACACCTGTGCAAATACATAATAAAAAAATGTACTCAACAAAACAATGAGGTATTTCTTTCAGTTATACTGTTTCAAACTGTTTTAGATGCATTTGGTCTGGTTTAGTGGCAATACTTCGACACATCTACCAGCTTAATGTGCATCTTTAAGGCATCTGATATTTTCAAAACATTCTTCAGCAATATCATTACATGAAGCATTTTGCCCCTTTCACTCACCCGTGTGTCGTCCCCAGTGGGATACAAGTACGCAAATGCAAATATGACACCAACCAATGTCCCATAAGACTTAAAATTTTCCCATCTGAAAATAACAATGAAATGCCCTTGTAAATTCAAAATATAAATACACAATATCTGAATATACCCTCTTACAATTTTTTTAATTTTTATTTTGGGGATAAATGGTATTAAAAAAAATAGCCCTAAACAAGGCTGTCAGCACTGTAGGATGCCACTCGAGACTGGAAAACATAGAGAAATCAGCCCAAGGTGGGGTTAAATTTTCATCAATAAGGGTGAAACATTATGAGCAAGGAATGTCACCTTAGTAATCAGAACAAAAGCGACACACAGAATATATGTGGTTGGCTTGTTTTGTTGTCCAAGAGCCTGTAATGGTCAGAATTTCATAGAAAACCTCCACAAAAATATTAATAACCGTGGATAAATGGCGTCTGCCCATATTTATTGTCACAGCTCAATTGCTAGTATTCCATTATTTCGCTCTCACGCCTTCTCTCTCCCAATGTACCGCAAAACCATGCCTGATTTTATGACCAAGGGCTCTAGGTTTTCCAGATGTAAATAAAACAAATGAGAAGGTGGGAAATGCTTACTTAATTGCTTCTTAGGTCAACAAAATACACTGATTTGCACCCTACTTACACTCCGAATCCTCCATATCGATAACCATCAAGTGTATCTGCTCCTAACCAATCTGAATCAACGTGTATCTGAATATAAAAGAAGTGAACAGTAAGAACCAAACAATTCACCAAAACCACCACAGCAGTACTATTTTAATGAAATCAACAGGGGAGGCGACATACATTTTCTTTACTTAACAAATGGATATTGGTATATGTGTATTTTTTCTCTTATATATAAATAATGTTTCTGTTACGTTGTATTAAAATTCCATCCATTTTTATGAACGTCCAGTTCTTTCCCTTCCTTAACATTACCATCACCCCAAGACACAGCCCCGAAAAGATTTCCTCTTCAAATCATGTGTAAATGCCACCTTTTACTCACTGCATCGCCATAATTTTCCTTCACATCTGAAAAGTCCCAAGCAGGGTTTTCACTTCTCTGCACATTTGGAACTTTGGGGAACATTGGGTAATCCCCTTGAGTTCCCGTGGGATCACACTGATAGTCTTCTGGTGGCATCCCATACTTGTTAGCAGCAGCTATTCTCTCTTCTTCAGTACGAGGTGCAGTTCCAGGGGCGTAGGGGATCTTCACTAGATTAAAAAATTTAAAGTGTAATTTCTGTTTGCCTGTCCTCTCCACCCCATTACCTCTCTCTTAGGCCATTCCATTTTTTTTTTTTTTTGAAAGACATTTGATACCTTGAATGAATTTTTTTAAGTAAAAAGTTGGGAGGCCCATTTTCTAAATGTTCTTCAATATGACAGTTATATTGAGGAAAAAGATGATGATAAAAAAAAATCACAGTTAAGGAAATAAGGTAATAGTTAGTGAGTGTTTGGGAAGGATGTGAAATGGACGTGGAATTTTAACTTTCAACTTTAACACCAAAACTTAGCTCTCTCTGTGATTATATCTTTAAAATCAAATTAAATATGAATATTTGATTTTAGCACTTTCTACACACACACACACACACACACACACACACACCAAAAAAAAAAAAAAAGTTTTTGAAAAAAAATTATTTTGAAAATTTTGCAGGAAGGACGTATCTGAGAATTTGATTTGTCAATTGCTAAATAAATGTAAAACAAAGTTTAAAAATAATTTATGATATATTTATTTGAGTTTGATGAATGATAATGAAAGTAAAGATGTCCTTCTATGATCATATATTTTACCATCAAACATTTTCCTATTTTGACAATGTGGATATGAGGTCCCATCTGATCTTATCATCTTTCAAAAGCATTGTAACATTTCAGAGAAACCCTAGCCAAATACATTCATTAAAATATAATTTACAAGATAATAATATCAAAATTATTCATTCAAAGAAAGGGTTTTTAAGTAAAAAAAGATTCTGTATATAATATCTCTGCATTTTAAGTTCTAGATTATCTAGAACGACATAAGGGTTTAGGTGTCACAAGAAAAGGGATGACTTAAAAAAACAAAATATACCACTTGGTAATTTAAATTGCAGATCCAACTGCACAAATCAGTATGATTTGTTTATCATGGGTCATTCGCCATGTTGGCGAGTGGCTCTTCTTGGCAATATGGAAAAATAAACAGCTCTGAGCTGCATTCACTAGTCACGGGAATAAAGTGCTTCACAGACCATGCAAATAATATGAATGTTTCACGCATCTGGCTTTCAAGAATAACAAAAATACCCAATGTGACATTCACATATTACCTGTAAAATGGACATGGTATAAGCAAGCTGCCTGTAAAATGGACATGGTATACGCAAGCTGGATGAAGAAATATGAAATCTTATCTTTATTTGCACTGTTAAAAAAAAAAAAAAAAAAAATTGCCAACAGAGACTGCATAAAACTGGAACACCGTAGCGACTAAATCATGCTAGTGCATTAATTAATTACTGCTTATGTAGAAAATTTGTGTATTTGGTTTTGTTTTTCTATTGTAATAAAAGAAGGAATTGGTGTGCACAAATCCTAATATCAGGATACTTGAGTACAGAGTTGACTTTAAAAAGCCTATATTTGCATTTTATTTTCAAATCTCTCGCTTCAGGGTATTATTATTATTATTATTACTAAATAATTTATTATTTATTATAACTTTTAAGAGTTCAGTCAGTATTGAAATTTCTGAGATATATTTTGTACATGAATGTATGTAAATTAGCTGAATAAAATTATTTTTCATGTTTTACAGCTTGTGGGTATATGCTTCTTCACTGACAAATATGAACAGGAATATTATAAATACAGTAGTACTAGTAAGTGTCAAAATTATCCTGGAATAAAAAGAACGATTTTCAATATTAAGAAATTTAAAACGAAATTTACAAAACTGTTACATTCCGTAGCGCTGTCACAACCTATCTTAAGAATTTCATTTTTTTATGCAGTATGATACTTAACTTATCTTGAAAGAAAATATACTTTATAGATTAAGAAATTTAAAACCAAATTCACGAAGCTGTGGCGCTGCTACAATCTATGTTACTGCACACAAGGTTTAGACAATCCACAACTTACCTGGTTTAAAACCTCCTTTAATTACTGTTTTAAGCATAGAAACAGCATATGGAGTCGTTGTCCGAATATTTCGTGTGCTGACAAACGAACATGATACTGGCTGTCCATGTCGGACAGCCGAAAGTAACCTGGACGCCATTTTCTTACACCATCACAATCTTCCGAAGAGTCGATTTTTCTTTGCGCTGATTGGTTATTTATGACTCGTGACTCAGGGTGTTGAATCTAAAATGTGTTAGAGGCGACAGGTGTGTTATCCAGTCGTATGAAAATGCACTTGTCGCCGATGGCACTGGGTCTGTGCATTTTGCCAAAACCTGCGTGTCCCTGCGTCGCCAGAGCCAAAGCTGGAGCAAGACCCGCACACAGAATACCACAAAGGCATATATATATATATATATAAGCCTACTGAGTACGCAAATAAAACCTACCACTAAGGCTTTTTTACACTTATTTTTATACCTCTGTGCACAAAAGAAAAAGGTAGGCCTATACAGTACAACCGTTAATTCATATGCACATGTGTACCTGTACATGTATTTCAAAATATGTTTTATTTACACTTTGAGACAATACCACAGGCTACCTCACAGTATTCACGTGAAATGCTACATCATACATGTAGCATTAAGCCCATGCGTTTGTTTGTAAATTTTTTCATTAGGCCGATAGATGAACATTTGTCACTATTGGGATTAATTTTTTTTAATATATATATAAAATTGACATTTTTACTTCGTAATTTACCGGTAGTTAGCACCTATACGACTTTTACCCGTGGCACGAAAACACATAGATTAACATGCGTGTGTTTTGAACATCTAGCACAGCCTTAACTACGCCTCCTTCTCATCGTTATCGCTTGCGACACGCACCTCGTAGAATGCCGCGTAGTTTCGGAAAACAATTCCCCATTGTCAGGTTACAAGGCAATCTGCCAGGCAATAGTTTTATTCGACTATATGTAATTTTTGCTGTTGTTCCAGATAGGGACAAGTATTTCATAGCGTATACACGGTCGCTCTGAAGAGTCTAGATTTTCCACATGTCGCTGACTTGTGCTAGGAATTAAATCATTTTGATCAGTGCATCGCTCTGGGTGACTCAGTTCTGCGCGAAGTGGAATTCTTTTAAACGTGCGGTACATAATGGCCGTGTGGAACGGAGATATTTTCGCGATACGGTTGGTGTTCGTCCTGTGCTGTATTTGTTTATTGGCCCGGGACGTCACGGCCAAGTGCGACCTGTCTAACTGTATTGAACCGAGGTGTCTGTGCCCCAGCAACGTCCCACCAGGGCAGTTACAGCCACCTCAAGTTCCACAGGTAGTTTACTTCACCTTCCTGGGGACCATGGACGAAAGTAAGTACAAACACATTGAGGATATTTTCTCAGAGGACTTGAAGAATCCAAACTACTGCCCGGTAGCTGCCACTTTCTTCATTGGAGACTTTGACACCGTGGCGAGCCCCGTTCGTAAAACCAATTATACTTATGTGAAGAAGTTGTACGAGATGGGACATGAGGTTGCCACCACGGGGACTAACATTCAGTATCCCGTTACGTGGTGGCACAGGGCGGCCTCCGCAGACTACGTCAATGAAGTAGTGTTCCAGAAAATACGGATTGCGACAGACGCGGAGATAAACGGGGACGACATCCAGGGATTTCGCGTGCCATTCTTAAACAATGGCGGAGACGCACAGTTTGGAATGCTGCACGATTATAACTTCACGTACGACTCCTCGTTGGTAAACGGACCTTATACACTGCGGGACTACCAGGCAACGTCTCACAGCCCTCTTTATCCGTTCACTTTAGATGTTCCTCCGGACAAAAAGCTATGTGACATCACCCCCGTCAATTGCCCAAGCCAGTCTTACCCTGGACTATGGGAAATACCATTGAATCGTATCTATGGCAATGACGGTCAAGCATGCGTGGCAGCGAGTGATTGCAATGTACGGGATACGTCAGACGTTTTTAATTTCCTCGTTAATAATTTCAATCGCAATTACCGCTCTAACAGAGCACCTCTCGGAATTTATCTGCAAATTGATTGGTTTAAAGAAAAGCCTTTCACACTCGAAGGGGTCAAGCGCTTTATTCGGCACGTCGCCAGTAAGAGAGACGCATGGGTTATTACCGTGTCCCAGTTGATTGATTGGATGAAGTCCCCAATGTCGCCGTCACGTGCAATCACTTTCGGCGCGTGGAGAAACTCAAAGCTGCCATGTAGCCGGCCGCAAACATATAATTCACCGAATACTAATTATGTGGATCACATGGGTCACAGGAGTTCCGCGATTTTTATCACGAAAAACAGCCTGTTAATGGCGACGTCTTTTTTCTTAGCATTGGGCTCACAGTTCTTTATTGCACCTTAAAATTCTTGAAATAAAAAAAAAAGACATTACTAAATTAAGATTTTTCCTCACTGCAAAGTAGGCCTGTAATTATACATGATGTGATCGTTCTTATTCCTCTAATTAATTAAACTGAGACGCGTTTTCAAATGAACAGAGAGTTTGTTTGTTTGTTCACTAGTTTATTACATCCAGAGCGGGTTTTCCAGTTATGCTTTTGATATACATTTCTTTTTAATCTGATATATATATATATCAGTTTCCGTAGGAAAAAATGGTTTTCAGTTGTCCTTCATAAGTTACGACAGACTAACACCAAGGAGTTTGAAACTCTTTGCTTACACGTACTGAGAGTTAAAGGCAAAGTAACTGCTCTTGGTTAAATAACAATAGTTTTGATAAGTTTTTAATTACATTCTACATATAAAGTTCATAACTCGCGCCTTCTAACATACGACATACAAGTTAATCTTCCCCGATTACTGTAACTCGTGCTCATCCACGTCCTCAAGCGATGGTACGTAGTTGATGCAATCTATAAGACCTTCCTTGTAGAACCCCTGTAACGCTTTCACGCGGAAGAAGTTCTGCAGCATCTTGATGGACTTGACACCGAGCTCTCGTTCCACGATCTTCTCCTCGGTGGTTGTCCATTTGAAGAGACCCCACACCGCACTGTGCTTCTTTTCCGTAATAATTCTCTGCGGGGCGATCTTGAAGTCCATCTTATACAACACGTACATGCAGTCCACGAACTGGTTGTCGTCTGACTTGCCGAACGCTACCATGCCGTAGCGGGCCCCCGAGTTGTCTTTCTGATTATACTTGAACTCCATGACCTTGTAAGACCATTCCTCTGCCCAATGGATTCCGTTCATCTTCTTTCGCATTTCATCGTTTATCCCTGTAATATGATGGAAATGAATACAATTATAAGTCTTCATGGAGAGATGCTGCAATAACCAGTAACCAGACAAGTCTGAGCAAAGATGCTTTAGTTGTGTCAAAAATACCAAAAAATACTTATCACGTGCACACAGCACTTGTTGGCCAAGAATTTCGAAATAAAAAAGAATTATTTGAAAGGGGGTTAATTTTTTTAGGAATGACATGCCGCAAATGCAGACCCCCCTGACACCCCCCCCCCCCCCCCCCCCATAAATCCGCAACTGGGAAATCAACAACCAGAACAATTTTATAGGACACTTTTACCACACATGACGGGTGAACTCAAGAAGAAAACGATATTGTTTTGCCCTACACTTCCCGCCAACGCCACCTCGTTGTATCTAAAATTGCCCTGTGAAAATCTGGCGAACCAATTAACATTATTTTGAAATAATCCCACATGCTCACACCTCTACCACGGGATTACAGTTAAGTGATGTTGTCGAATTACAAATCAATTGACAGAATATTCATGTATGTCCAATGTCTGTCGACAATAAGTAGTTCTTTTATGATCGTACATATCGCCAATTAAATAAAATGCTATTTTAATGTGCAGTATATTTTTATAAAAGGGATAGAAAGATAGTGGGTTGTTAGATCCACAATATCGAGGACGCAGAAAAGAAAATAATAATTCGTAATCTCTCTTTAACAAAATGAAGATTAGTGAATGTAATCATTAGAAAAGAGATACAGACAGGAACTTAGAACGTACCTTCATAGGCATCCTGCATGTGGTCAAGGAATGGTGCTATGTTGGCAACTGGGATCCTTTTGGCTTCCATGACTTCACAGCCTTCCTCCCACTTAGTAAACAGCTCCCCCTCCAGCTTTCTCTGTAGCTCTGTGGCATCATGCCTCGATACCTATGACACAACGTAAAAAAGAACCATACATTTTGTTTTCATTGTTTGGTTATCTGCAGCTATTCATTTACTTGTGTGTGTGTGTGTGTGTGTTTCTTTTTCAGATTTCACAAACATGTGGTATGTTGAGAAAGCTTGCGAAATGTCTTATTAACCCTCATCCACAAGGAAATGGAACCCTACGTAAACCCTGAAACCGGGCCTCAGAGGCCCGGTGTACCATGAAAATCTGACTCCCCTAAAATGTGACTCCCCAGTCAGATTTTCATTATGAAAATGTGACTCCCCAGTCAGATTTTCATANTGTGTGTGTGTGTGTGTGTGTGTGTGTTTCTTTTTCAGATTTCACAAACATGTGGTATGTTGAGAAAGCTTGCGAAATGTCTTATTAAATGGTATTCAATGGTTGAGCTGATCCCCCCCCCCCCCCAAAAAAAAAAAATAATAAATAAATAAGATAATAATATTTAAATAAACAATGAAAAAACAGACATTATCTTTTGTTAAGCAAATGTCCTGACTTCCAATGTTACCTCACCTTGACACTGTAAAGTCCCTTCTTCACTTTCTGCAAGGCTTTGTTGATTTCAGTCTGGTCTGCTCCGCGGTCTAGAGCTGCGTTGAGGTTTCTGAGGTCTTCGTTCATTGCATTATATTGCGGCGGCGATGTCATGGGACCTGCCATTTCAATGTTTAATTACTGAAAAATGTTAAATGTTACGTTAAACCCAACGCTTTCCTAGCAGTCGGCATATAAATATTCTACTCGGATATAGTTATTAAGAATAATAACATTGGGAAAAAATCGAAGTCCCTTTCAACAAGGCCCAAATTGGATCTGTAAGTAAAGTGGTGTGTAGGCCTAATTCAATTCCAGGAGGAAGCCTAGTCGGTGTAAAAAAAAGCTCGTGCATCGGCATGCGATCCCCCAAAACAATCGACTGAGAAAGAAAAAACACAAATAAAATAAATGTAGCGGGACACAAGAAGCAAAATGTACTTAAATTAATGAAACCATATGTATCGTACATGTAGCCTAGCTTACTTCACATAAACTAGCATATTGCGAGATAAGAGCACCGTCTCAACGGGGAATAAATTCAGTGTTTAATGATTCAATCTTTTAATCCGTGTTAAAAAAACACGGAAATTAGATCCCGCATTCCTAGACAACCGTAGCGAAAAAAAAAGGACGAGAGCCTTAGCTTCGGGTTTGAGAAAGCTTTTCAAAAAAGGGGTACTGCCATTGGCCCGTTATTTTTAGATTGACCTGAAGGTCAATCGTTGAAAAAAAATGATTGTCAGCTCCTGGCTATAAGTCCCTCGTACCGTCACGTCGGGTTTTCATTCATAAATCGGTAAAGCTGGAGAAGCGTTCATTAAGCACTTGATATAATATTGCAATGAATAGATCGAATAGTATAAAATGTCAGCATAATAAATTAATATCTGGTAAAGGTTAGCGACACAACAAAACATCCCCACAGCACGGCCCAATCCGTATAGTATTATTTTCTGAGAATGAACAACATGAACCTAAAAATGCACCAAATCACCATTGTCCAATTTATAAATTGATACATAGTGTAGAATGATACACACACTGAAAATACCTAAAATAAATAAAAAAAAGATAATTAATGCCTTTTCGAAATCATATACATATGGGATACATCTGTACAAAATGCTGGTCGAGCTTTTCCTCCTCGTGACAGCGTAACGGCTATAGCATTTTGGAAGGGATGTAGCCAGGATATTTGTGAGACAACCCTGTGATAAAACCCTAGCTACGACCCTGGCAGAATGCTGCCTTGCCAAATTTATACTTACATTTCTATACGTTTTTTCACTGATAGAATGCGTTTCAGCTGTGCAACTGACGGGTTCCGTTCTTAGACTCACATATATAGGCTACTTGCGCTGTGGTTGGAAATTTTACTGATGCGCAAAATAGCTGCAAAAATTCCAGGTTTCCAGGAATGAGTCAGTGATTACGGGATGGCACTCTGAAAGTGAAACCTGGAAAATCCCGTGAGTGGACTTTCTTGGAAGAGATGCGAAGTTATTAAGGGATCAGTGCTATACCAAACATTACCTTGACTTATAACCCCCCCCCCCACACACACACACACACACACACACAAACGAGTGCGCATGACGTGTTGTCATCTAAATACATGAATCAGAATCGACTTTATTTATCATAATTTATGTACGCATCACACACCGAACGATCCAAGATCTTGGTGAGGAGGGTGAATGCAGGGTTAACGTTGATTTGTTCCTCTCAATTAATTTGTTTGAAGTGGGCGACTTTTTGTTCCCCAAATTTGTGGAATACAGAAAAGGGCATTTTGGTTAGTTTGGTCTCGTTTTGCAACTTGTACTTTTATGGGGGAGGGGGGGAGGGTTACTTCCGAAGCTAATGGAAAGACATTCCATCATCACAGGCATTTTCTTTTATTTTTCCTTTAACAAGTCTGAGAGATGCAACTTTTGATCTCGTCCCCTTCCCCCTCGAATGCTGTTTTAATAAATAAATGCTATTAAGCATTAAGTTGCATTTGACAATATGCAGACACATGTGTACGCAAATCATACAACACTGAGGGGGAACCCAGATAACGTATCTTAAATATAAAGATATCAAGTCAAGGTGTCGAAACTGTCAAGCACTGGTACCTGTCAGAACTCACTTAGACCGGAATGTTTTTTTTTTATTTACATATTAATTTTAACGTGCCAGAACTAAAAAAAGGTATAGAGTTTTGAACATTTTGGCATTTATCTAAAACATCATTTTCCTACAATATCTCACATTTGATTGCATTATCTTATTGAAGTTATTCATCTTTGAAGTAAGTAACGCCTTTTAGCCACCAGTTATATTGCTAATTAGTCTTTTAACCACCAAATTATTATTATTATTTTTTTTTTGTAAAAATGTTGGGGGGGGGGGGGGAATGCACTCTGGGTCAAGATGACATGACATTCATCGTCAAATGTTGGATCTTTTGGGTAGATGTGTCACTTATAACCTGCAGCGCTGAATATATTTCCCAAGTATTTGCAGAGTTTTCTTGTTTGTTAACTGGTTTATTAAATCCATAACGAGATTTCCAGTTAATTTGTCTTTGTGTTATAGCATTCTCAGACATTATCTATGCGCTTATAAGATACATGAGAATGAAAATATATCTTAATTTGGAATGATAATTACGTTCTAAAATCAATTTCTTCATAAAAAAGCAGACTTTAAGTAAGATGAATATAATGAATCACGTTTAAAATTGAACTAAGTGATAATCATCTTGGTTCATACAAGACAGTCAT